TTTGGGGGGTTGGAAATGGAGGCGGTGACCCCCCGGCCACCAAGCGGCCCAAAAATGGCCGAAAATGGCCCCAAAACGGCCCCAAATCGGCCTCAAAATGGCGGCGGCTCTGTGAGGGGGAGGAGGACGGGAACACAATTTTGGGGGGTTTTAAAAAGGATTTTGGGGTTTAAAGGGGAGGAGGATGAATTCCTGACCCCAAAATGGCCCCAAAATGACCCAAAACGGCCCCAAAATGGCGCCAAAATGGCCCCAAAATGGCTCTGGAGCGGGCCCAAATCTATTTTGGAGGGTTTAAAAAAGGGGTTTTTGGGGAGGTTTGAGGAGGATTTTGGGGGGTTGGAAATGGAGGGGGTGAACCCCCGGCCACCAAGCGGCCCAAAAATGGCTGAAAATGGCCCCAAAACGGCCCCAAATCGGCCTCAAAATGGCGGCGGCTCTGTGAGGGGGAGGAGGACGGGAACACAATTTTGGGGGGTTTTAAAAATGATTTTGGGGGTTAAAGGGGAGGAGGATGAATTCCTGACCCCAAAATGACCCCAAAATCGCCCTAAATGGCCCCAAAATGGCTCCTGAAAAAAACCAACAGGCCCCAAAATGGCCCCGGTGTGAGAGGGGAAGCGGGAAAGGGTTCAAAAAGTTTGGGGAGGGGGGGAAGGGTTTGAGGAGGATTCTGGGGGTTTAAGAGGAAACGGGGGGTGAAGTTCTGCCCTCGAAACGGCCCCAAAATCGCCCAAAATTGTCCAAAACGGCCCCAAAATGGCTCCGGAGCGGGCCCAAATCGGCCTCAAAATGGCGGCGGCTCTGTGAGGGGGAGGAGGACGGGAACACAATTTTGGGGGGTTTTAAAAAGGATTTTGGGGTTTAAAGGGGAGGAGGATGAATTCCTGACCCCAAAATCGCCCAAAATGGCCCCAAAATGGCGCCAAAACGGCCCCAAAATGGCTCCGGAGCAGGCCCAAAATAGGCCCAAATCGGCCTCAAAATGGCGGCGGCTCTGTGAGGGGGAGGAGGACGGGAACACAATTTTGGGGGGTTTTAAAAATGATTTTGGGGGTTAAAGGGGAGGAGGATGAATTCCTGACCCCAAAATGACCCCAAAATCGCCCTAAATGGCCCCAAAATGGCTCCTGAAAAAAACCAACAGGCCCCAAAATGGCCCCGGTGTGAGAGGGGAAGCGGGAAAGGGTTCAAAAAGTTTGGGGAGGGGGGGAAGGGTTTGAGGAGGATTCTGGGGGTTTAAGAGGAAACGGGGGGTGAAGTTCTGCCCTCGAAACGGCCCCAAAATCGCCCAAAATTGTCCAAAACGGCCCCAAAATGGCTCCGGAGCGGGCCCAAATCGGCCTCAAAATGGCGGCGGCTCTGTGAGGGGGAGGAGGACGGGAACACAATCTTGGGGGGTTTTAAAAAGGATTTTGACGGTTTAAAGGGGAGGAGGATGAATTCCTGACCCCAAAATCAATCCCAAAACGGCCCCAAAATCGCCCAGAACGGCCCCAAATTGGCCTCAGAGCAGGCCCGGGAGGGCCTCAAAATGGCGGCTCCGTGAGGGGGATGTGGGACACAATTTTGGGGGGATTCAGGAGAATTCGGAGGCGTTTTAAGGGGATTTTGGGAGCTTTAAGGAGGATTTTGTAGGGTTAAAGGGGAAGGGGATGAACCCCTGACCCCAAAATGGCTTCAAAACTGCCAAAAAATTGCCCACATTTTTGAAATTTGGCCTGAAAAATGGCCCAAAAAAGGCCCCAGGTGAGCCCCGAAATGGCGGCTGTGGGAGGAGGAGGAGGAAGGGCGGGAAGGGGTTAAAAAGGAGGAATCTCAACAGAATTTTGGGGGCTTTAAGGAGGATTTTGGGGGCTTCAAAGGAAGGGGATGAACCCCCAACCCCCAAAAAGCCAAAAAACGGCCCCGAAATGGTCCCGGAGCAGCCTCAAAGGAGCGGCTCTGGAGGATGAGGCCGGGGACGGAATTTTGGGGGGTTTCAGGAGGATTTGGGGGATTTTAAAGAGGATTTTGGGCTGTCCAAGGGGAGGGGGGTGAACCCCCAGCCCCAAAAACGCTCCCGGAGCAGCCGCGGGAGGACAAGGGGGGGAAAAAGGGGTTGAAAATGAGGTTTTTGGGGTTGGGGGGGGGGGACAGCGGGGTGGCCCCACCCCCAGTCCCAGTCCCCAAACTGGGAGGGGCTGGGCGGATTTTGGGGGTGGGGCTGAGCCCCCGCTGAGCCCCCGACCCCAAAAACTGCAACTCCCAGCATCCCCTGCACACACAAAAAAAACTCCGAACGAACTACAACTCCCAGCGTGCCCTGCTGCAGAGACGAGAGCCGAACTACAAATCCCAGCGTCCCTTGCTGCAGAGATGAGAGCCGAACTACAACTCCCAGCGTGCCTTGCGCTGCAGGTAAACCCCGGCTCGGGCCCCACCAGGCCTCGGGCCCCTCCGCAGGGCCGGGTTTAGGCCCAGTGTGAACACAAACTACAACTCCCAGCATGCCCTGCTCCTCCTCCTCCAGGAGCTGAACTACAACGCCCAGCATGCCTTGCTGCCGGGGTTAGGCCTCGCTGGGCCTCTTTAGGGCCGGTTTTAGGCCAGCCCAGGAGCCAAACTGCAACTCCCAGCATCCTCTGCTGCTCCCCGATGAACTGCAGCTCCCAGCATGCCCTGCTGTCCCGTTAAAGCCAGGCTTAGGTTCGTTTAGGCCTCACGGCCTATCCCAGGCCTCGCTTTGGGTGTCCCGGGAGCCCAACTCCAACTCCCGCCGTGCCTCGCTGTCCGTACCTGTGCAACTACGGCTCCCAGCGTCCTTTGCTGTTGCGCTCACGCCGGGTTTAGGCCCCGCCGGGCAGCAGAGGCCTCTCCTGGGCTGGGTCTCGGCCCTTTCCATCAAACCCCTGTGGGGCCGGACTACAACTCCCAGCATCCTCTGCTCCCCCTCCCACAGGCTGAACTACAGCTCCCAGAATTCCCTGCGGCCCCTCCTAGGGCAGGTCCAAACTCCCCTCACGGCCTCTCTTAAACCCCCCAAAACCCCCCCCGAGACACAAACCGCCACTCCCAGCATCCCCTGCGGCCACAGCTCCAAAAACCACAACTCCCAGCGGCCTTTGCGGCCGGTTCGCCACGCCCCCTTCCTTCCCAGCATGTCCCGCGGCCCCGCCCACCCCACCCCCCCCCCTTTTCGTTTTTGGGGTGTTTGGGGGGGGGTCCCTCCGCGTATTTTTGGGGTTTTTTTCAGCCATTTTGGGGCGGGGGTCCCCTCAGCGCCCTCCAGCCGATTTTGGGGGGGGTCTCACGGCCATTTCCAGGCGGAGTCCGGCGCTCCTCAGGGGCCATTTTGGGGGGGGGGAGGGGAGAACGTCCATCCCCCATTGTTTTTGGGGTGGGGGGGGTCCCTCGCCGCCATCGCTCCCGTTTTGGGGAGGGGGTCCCCTCACCGCCCCGGAGCCGTTTTGGGGCGGAATCCCTCCATTTTGGGGAGGGGTCCCTCACCGCCGTCACCCCCGATTGAGGAGGGGGGAGGGGAGGGTGTGTCTCAGCCCCTCCCCCGCCTCAGAGCCCCATGGGGGGTCTGCGCCAGTCGGGGCCCCTCCCCCAGGGCCCGGGGGGCTCCAGGGGCTGCATGGGGGGGTGGTGGGGGGGGGGGGG